TGACACGGAGTCATCACACCACTCCCAATATATCCCACCGCGTTTGTTTCTGGAATGTACAACACGCTGCTTCCACGCCTAAGCTCCTTCAGTCCAAATTACCGGCTGGCGAGGCACTGACATGCCACTACAATAACAAGCATTAAAAGCATTCGCGGCTGTGGAGGCAAGCTATTTAATTACTGCTTATTCAGCGGCACTTTCTATAACTTGGGTTACATAACGTCGACTGATAGCTCTCCGTGAATAATGAATTGTAAGGGACATGAAAGGAAGCAATCCTGACTAAATTTGATATAAATCTATGCTTGAAGTGACTTTCTAAAATCACTAAAAACCTAAGTCACGTTAGCTCAACTCCGAGCCAAGATCTGAAGCCAGGTTTTCCAATCACGAAGCAGTGTTGAATTTCATGGTTACAAAGGAATAGGCGTTTCATGTTTCAATATTTTTCTTTTAATTCGCTTAGTGGGGGGTGGGGTCCAACTGGGTCCACTGATTGGCCTATTGTACCTGCGCCGGGTGATCGAGAATTTGGTGGAATGAAGATTGACAGGGGAAACCGAAGCACTCGGAAAAAACCTGCCCCAGCGCCCCTTTGTCCACCACAAATCCCACTTGACTAGACCCGGCATCGAACCCGGGCCGCCGTGGTGGGAAGACAGCGACTAACCGCTTGAGCTATGGCGCGGCTTTATGTTTCAATAAGTCACTGTGCAAACAGGTACTACATTAATACGTTATTACGGAAACTTAAGAGCTAATGTTAAAATAATATATAAATTATCGCCTCCAAGGCTAATTACTTTGCACGGTCAAAATGTTTGAAACTTTTCAGTTCCGTACGAAACCACCCCAACGAAAACCCGCGAGATTTTCATATAAAGGTAAAGCTATCCGTGTAACAGGCCGTGGACGCCCATAGGATTGTGAGACGTCGAGGCTCCCACAATTTCTTGACAATCGGCTCACAGATGGCGGTGAGGCCTTACGCGCTGGCCGCGTATCTCCCAGGAAGATTTCTGGTATGCATTTCTGTTAAGGGGCTCAGTCGACCTCAGGATCATAGTGCGGCTGGAAGGGTTAGGTAAATTGAAAAATCCAATGACCTCATTGTGATCCGAACTCGCGACCTTCCGGCTTGTACCACAGGGCCTCAATCAACTACACTACCGCGTGCCCCGAGATATTTTCATATACCTGTAAAAAGAAGACGACGAAAGTTTAAAGAACATAAAGAATTGGACAATTACAACGCGATGGCCTTCGTGCAGTTTCAGTTAACCATGTCAATTCGTTTACAATATACACGTAATACTTAACGACGTAGTATAACAGTTCATTACGACCCCGAAGAAAGAACTCTGAACCCTCGAAAGGTTGTCCACCTCCAACAGGATTGCACAATCACTTGGGAATATTTAAAAAGATGGAGGCGTTAGTGTGCAGATATTCTGACTGGCAATATATAAACTTGCGTTCGTAGAACTTCCAAACTGTGAAGATTATACTTTGCATATGTTAAGCGTAATGAATGTTCTAACACTCCAAACATTTACATAACTGTAAATGTCACAGTTCTGTAGAAATATTTAGAAGCGAAACCCACGCAATATTGAAAACAACGGCAGGAAGATGCCATTTTCTTTCATAAACCTGAGTATCACATTCTCTCTTAAATGTACACCATTACGAACGCGTGAGGGAGAGATGGTTAAAAGAATTAAAAAAGGAAATAAAGTCTAAAATTTGTCCCCGGGCTTCTGAACTCGAAGGAAATAGAAATGACACACTCTACGAGGAACTGGGCATTAAGAAATAACGGAAACTCGACAATTCTCAGCTGGGACTGGTCACCGGAAGCGAACATTCCCGCTCACAGTAATAATCACAGCTCATCTTACATACTCCCACCCCCACGAAAAAAAAATTGCAGCTACCGAGAACGGGACACAGGAGGTTATTTGCTCGCCGGCTACTATCTTACATGGTTTCCATTTCACGAGTTCTGTGGCAGTTTGTGATGATAATTTTGAATACACCGTCTTCTCTGCAAGGCGTCTGATGGATTTCCCCGGATTCAAGCGTAGCACCGAGTTCATCTCATTCCTCTTCAGTGAGCTCTCTGCCTTCTGATTCGGTTCGTATCTTCTCTCGAATAACGACCCTGTCTGTTTACTATATTTACGACTATGGAGAGCTCGCTGTTTGCAACTGTTACATCATGAATTGTACGCAGAATTCTTCTCATTTTCATACACGGGCATACACGTATTGTTCAAGAACATACGGTTTTCCAATCTTAGACTCACATATGGCACCTGGACACCAGCAACGCGACTGGATAAATGTAGCATGGGTTTGCGATTACACGGTAGGTCAATAGCGCATAAACTCACCTCACGGAATATATTCAACAACTTGTTTGGCGACACTGAAAAGAATTTTCAACCTGTATCGACTCTTAGTTTGTTGGGTCCGCTCGTACAACTCGGCTCTGTATCTCTCGCCTTAGCGGCCGGACGATTTTCGGATAGCTCTCCGTTAAACACACTGTAGATTAACATAAAAACGAATGCGTTGTGCAAAGTGGCGAAAACATCCGCAAATAATGATGTCACCTTCAATACACCCGGTTCCACATATTTAGCTTTGTTGATAACTTGAAGATGAATTAAAGGAAGTTTATTTCGATGCCCGGAATGCGAACAAGTGCGCACATATTTCCAACAGATAAACCGTCTCTAACAGGAAGCAACAACTGATTTTGGGAAGAGAAGGGAGAACACGGCCCAGATGGGTCGCTTGGGAGACCTTCATTTCGGATTAAAGTGAATTGGGTACTCGGTCTGCTGGGAAGCAAATTCATTCTGAGCTAACATCGTCGACACGTTGCAAGATCCCTGGGTGAAGGATCAGCCTATTGCGAGGCCTCTGCTTTGGCAAGACTTGGATAAAGATCATAAGGAAAGAGAGGAACGCAATATCGTTCCCGGACGCCGTTCGGTCTAGGCCGTCAGAACACGTCTATGTTTAGCACTCATACTACAATGTAGAGGACCGCCTCTGTGGTCAAGTGGTCGGAGCTCTTGGCTACAGATCCAGAGGTCCTGGGTTCGATTCCCGGCGTTACCAGATTCTGAGAAGTAGAGGGGTCTTGAACGGGGTCCACTCAGCCGCGTGAGGATAAATGAGGATCTACTTGAATTGAAAAGTGGCGGCTCCGGTCTAGAAAACCAAAATTAACGGCCGTGGGGATTCGTTGCGCTTACCACGCGACACCCTCTATCCGCTAAAGTTGATACTAACTTCGCCGACAAGCGCCAGTCGCTCGGTCGGTATAGTTGTCTTGCAGACTAAAGCCGTAGAGTTTTAGTTTAACTACAATGCAGAACAACAAAGCAGTTTTGGTGCAAACTTGACACATTACACCAATCGATAAGATCTACAGTAATAAGCACATGCGTTTAGACACGCTGACTTCATAGCAAATCTTTATTGCTTGCATCCTGTTGTGTCATAATTTGTAACACTCTTGCCCTCAGCAAACTGAAACCAGGAACAACACAAAAACAAGCGTCCACACGATAAAGACATGACACACTCTAAAGAGAAAAAACATAATCACGTCACATACAAGACGGCACGAACACACACACATAAAAACTAAAATGCTAATAACATTACAGCGAACCCTGGAACATAACTATCACCTACAATACGCGACAAAGAACACAGAATTTTTACATTGTAACGACGATAATTTTTTTAAAATTTAAAAATATTTTTACAACCTTTGTAATAGTTACATGTATTATGACGATTATAATGACTAACACTAATATGGATCCGTATTAAAATACACGAGACGAATTTATTGAAACTGCCTGAGGATGGTCAAATATATGGACCGAAACATGTAACATATATTAAATAAAGCCAATATGTTTTGTTTACGTCCAGAATGTCAGATTCACAGCAAATCTTCGCACGTTTCAATAACACGACATATGACACGTAAATTGTCTTTGTAGGCGAGTCTTGTGGGTAAACACTGATTCGGAGTACTGCATACACGATGGCTCTAAATTGTCGTTGGGGTTTCCGTGGTCTATAAACGGAAACCGCGACAATAACTGAGAATAACCCTGTATTAATATCCGTAAATATTAACCAGTTTAGCGTTATGTTGAAAACGTGTTATAAATCTAACATTTAGATATGTCTAGTGCTTACATTTTATGGTGAGAATTTATCTCGATTTTGGCTTATTCTTTCCTTCAGCTGACGAACATAAATCCAATGTCAACAAGAAAGGTGACAGAGGAATACTTCAACACGACTACAACTTTACAATTAATGGTTTTAACACAGAACTTATTGAGTATTGAGGGGGTGGGTTACCCCATGCACCGCGACCAGTTCGATCTATTGTGCGTCCCCCTTTGAATTTCTACTGTCTCAATACCCTACCTGTACTGGTGCTTGCTATCGTTCACTTTCTGCCAGCGAGGTTTCGGCCGTCTACTGGCAGTGGTATCTGACAGTTAGTCCCTTTCTGTCATTGAGGTTGTCCCTCCTCTGGCAGTGGTACCTAAGCTCCCCCATCTACCGGAGGCATTGGAAACTACTTGGGCGGGAAATTGCCTAAATTTAGCTCTGAGGTCTCCTAGAGACATGAGGTTCTTTTACGTGCCGTAAATCTACGAAACGGGACCCACGGCTTAAAGTCCCTCCCGGAGGACTTGTTCCCTGAATTTTTCTGCCCTTAAAAATTCCACGACCTCCGCCTGCTTTGAACCCGCGTACCTTGGGTCATGAGGTGGGAACGTTGCCCCTACACTACGGAGACCGCTTAACACAGACCTTAAATACATCATTTCTTTTGCACTTTTCATACTGAAGACTCTAATCCTGAGGGTTCTGGAGAATACAGATTAGGAATAACTGTAATGGGGGAACCGTGTCCGCGGAAAATAATACAAACGTGTTCTACTTACCTTAGCGTATTCTATCTTGAGTGTGCAACAACCTGAGTAGATGTCTGCTCCATTCAGAGACTCCTTGGCTCTCTTCGCAGATTCTATGCTGTCAAATGTGAGGTGTAGTTAAGGAACAAACTATAGCACAGATAATCATACTGCGTACATTGAGGTTCTTGTGAGTACCAGTGTCACAGCGTAATCTACTAGTCCAATCAAGAGGGGTGTTTTTATTTCATCACACTAAAAGAGCTGTAAAAATTAAGAAACTGCATATAATACATATTATGGAGTATTTGTTCAAAGCAAGAACTGTGGAGACAGAGAAACAGTCATTGCTAGGTTATGCCCGCACGCAACAATAGAAGAGGTGTTGCAAGTGGCGTTCTCTGTGGATCCGCTCCAAGGCTACATGATTCGACCACGAAGGTTCAGTTCAGCAAGAGCAGTGCAGATGTGGAGTGCTAACCAGCGGACAAAGGAAGCTGAAGATCCGTTTCCAGGAAACGTCTAGTGGAAACACTCCAAAGGAACAAGTCGTTGACAGTTCTTACCAAGACCAGTGACAGAATGTGAAGACAGCGTGGAGTGATTTGAAATGTGGAAATCAGCTAGTGTTATAGTTATTTGTAGTTACGACCTGTAAGTGCCCAACAAATCTATTCACAAATCCGAACACCGCTTACAGTTACTAATACACGTGACAATGCATTTTTAAAACACTTTACCAAATCTCTAATGAGTCGGTAAAATAGCTAATTTAATGAGTGCAGCTTTGTGACGATTCTTCAAGTGTTTACCTGCAACAGGGTGGAGCGCAGGCCACGCCACAACACCAAGCTGGGAGAATTACGGTAACAAACGCGTTTCACTCTCTATCCCCAAAAATACATATTGTGAATTTAGCTGAAGTTGCAGGTATTTCGTGGGCTTCAGCCTGTAAATATGCGATGCTACAATAACCAGTAGGTCCTACACGTAATTTAGTTATCACTTCTTCACGTAAGAGCAAACCTACCACTAAGATCAGAGACCGGTTTCCAAAACGTGACTGCACATGGGCGATACAAGTAATGTGGAGTACGAGATGTATTTTAGCGGACTGAATTATCCGTTTTCACGTCGCAAACCCTGATCACTGACCGTCGTGGGTTGAAAAGAGCTAAGGCTCTTTATCGCCGGACGATGTATGAGATTCCAAGGAATAGTACATTACACAATTCTTCAATAATATGAGTATATACCACCATTTAAATAAATCTGTTTTCAGCCTATTTTCCTTATTTTGAAAACAATAAAATTAGGCTTCTGTAACCTCCATGCTGTCTGTGTATCAGAGAATCCCCACCACCTATTAACTTTTGAATGCCTGAGTCCATCTAACGGCTTACTTCATAAATCCCTCTTAGCAGCCTGCCTCCATGTATCCCTCCCATCTTGCTAGGCAAAAGCTCCGTAAGAACGTTCCCACGGAAACGAAGAACTGCTTCCGGCGCCGTTTTCTATGCGGTATGTGTCGTATCAAAGGAAAGTATGCCATCAGTTCTTCCCAGAACTTCTTATAGTACATTTAAAACGAAAAACAGCATCCCCATGCTTCTACGACCAACAAATTCTGCCTCACAAAGTGTTTTTTGTTTTTGTATAGGAGAAAACTTTATTTCTGTGCTGCTTGCATAAACAGTGCCAATCAAAAACGGCTTAGATCACCTGTGAAAGATAAATACAGTTCACGATGAGAGGCTGAGGGATATATCGAAAATCACGCAAGCATCACGCTGAGAAATACGGCGTCCTAATCTACATCTCACTGAATGCAGAACTGACACTACAAAAACGCTTTGCATATAACATTATTACGGCATGAAATTCGTAAGAATGCAGACTTACACAGAAGGTTCCAATTCCGATACGATAACATGTCCTGCCCCTTTAATTTCCCCATTGGGCGTATCGGGTCGGAGAAGTGCGATGCGTATTTACTCTCCTACACGAGCGAAAACAGTCGAGTGTTGGGCCAAAATTTTCAGAAGACTTTCTGCCCACCGGACACTATACACATTACACCCAGCGTGGACACAGTACAATCCCCAAACTATTATATCGGATGTACGGTAAATCTCGCTGTAGAAATTCTCGTACTTTTAATTTTTGTTTGATTGTTTTAACAAAAACAACAAACAAATTTAGACGATGTTACTTGTTTCTGAAAGTGGGCACGCGGTAGCTACAAGCCAGAAGGTCTCGGGTTCAAGTCCCGATGAGGTCATTCGATTTTTTTTTAAACCTAATCCTTCCAGCCGCACTATGGCCCTGGGGTCGACTCGGCCTCTAACAGAAATGAGTACCAGGAATTAATTAAATAATTTTCCTGGGGAGTGAAGCGCGGCCGGCGCGTAAGGCTGACAACCTTACCGCCATCTTTGAGCCGATGGTATAGAAAATGTGGGACCCTCAACGTCTCAAACCCTATGGGCCTCCACGGCCTGGTACAGGGATAGCTTTGCCTTTACTTGCTTTTTACTTGTTTCTGAAATGTTCATAAGCCTCTGTAGAAGAGGCAGACGCAGAAATCCTCCAACCCGCTAACGTAGCATCACCATTTAGTTTTCGATGTTAATTTTCGGGAGTCGGGTTAGCTCAGTCGTTGTAACGACGAGCAACGGACTGAACGGTCGGGGTTAGGATCCCGGCAGAGCAAGATTTTTCTCTCCTCCACAACATCCAGACCGGCTCTGGGGCTCATGAACGATACAAGTCTGCCGTGCCGAGTGCAAAGAGTTGTCTTCTGGCAAGGAACAGCTTGTAGGATGACACTGTAAGGATAAAGGATAAAGCAAACATGGGGAGGGGGGGAATGCATACAGGATTTTGGTGGGAAAGCCAGAAGGAAAGAGACCATGAGGAAGATCTAGAGGGAGGTTGGGGAATATTAAAATGGGCCTTAAGACATAGGATGAAGTGGTATGGACTGGATTCATCTGGCTTAGGATAAGAACCGGTGGGAGGCTATTGTGAACACAGTAATAAACCTTCGGGGTCCATAAAATGTTGGTAAATTCTTGACGAGATGAGCGACTGGAGGCTTCTCAAAAAGGAGTTAGTCATCTGATCACAAACTATTTCTTTTATAATTAATTCCGTCGCAAGACAGCATCCGTTACGTGTCAGATGCTAACGACACTGTTGAAAGGCATAAACTGGACGCATTTCAATCAAAGTTGTTAATTGTGCCAAACTGCCAGAACGACATGGTCATTAACTTAACTTACATCAGCGATGCTATCTATGTAGGTCAAGCCTGGGCACAAAGACCGTCTACTCGTACTGTGAATGCCATTAGTGCAAAACGTTGTAAGGATCACTAAATTTGCAACGTTGTATTATCAAAGTCTTTACAAATTTTTATAAGTTTAATAATGAAATAAAAGAACTTTATATAATGGAAGAACTGCTTCTGCTGACTACACGTACAGTAACAAGAAAGATTCAACCTTGGCTGTCATTTCATTTGTTTAACTGTGGAACTGAATGGATCTATTCAGAATTCTCATACATGTACCGCATATTTTTGATCAGAATACGCACACTTTAACGTCAGTATTTAGGTCATACGCCCACACGTCGTTTTCAATCAAACGTGGAGGCCGCATCTGTGCGATACGATGGCACAAGTTTCAACACTATCCTAACGCCGGGTTAAGTCCTGCCTCGTATTTGGTTTAGTCCAGAGTTCGAGTACGGTCCGATGACCGACTATCCTGATAATGGAGTCTTCATTTTGTTCGACAATGTCGTGGAATTGCACATAACTATGTGATGAAACGTATAAACAAGGTAAAGCTGCCCCTGTATCAGGCCGTGGAGATCCATAGAATTGTGAGACGTCGAGGCTCCCACGTTTTATAGACAATTGGGTCACAGATACTCACGCGCCGGCCGCCCTTTAGCCCCCAAGGAAGATTCCTGGTACTCATTTCTGTTAGAGGCTGAGTAGATAATGCTGCTGGAAGGATTGGGTCAGCTAAAATATACGGTGACAACATCGGGAACCGAACCCGCGATCTCTCGGCTTGTAGCATAGTGCCTCAATTATACGCTGCTAGTATTTTACATATGTAAGGCAAGTTAGGCAAAACTCTAATAAACACAGAAGGTTTAAACACGTACAACCGCAGTAGGAATGTCTGTCCTCTATGAGGATTCGCTATAGCAAAACTGTAAGCATCTGTAATGTTCAAAAGACAAAACACCTGAGCTAATGTTTAGTTTGTAGCATAAGATGACATTGTATGGTAAGGTAGGGCAAAGTTTTCCTTGTGCTTAATCAATTAAGCACTACGCTATGAAAATGCATAAATCTACGTATTCTTGACCTCGGCACTAGTTAGAGGTAAGTGGTCAGCTTCACTCCCCGGGCGCTTTACCCGTGGTTCCCCTTGGATAGGAGGGTGGGTGTGTAGCAGAGCCGGTCTGGAAGCTGTGGAGACCCTGCCGGGATTCGACCTCCGACCGCTCGGGCGTTCAACCAGCAGGCAGTCGCTATACGGAGTACGCTATCCCGGCTCCACAAGCTTCTACGTCCACGCTAAAATTCGAAATTATGCCATGAGTTAGGGCTCGTGCGAAGCAGTCGATACAGCAGTGATTCCCACCCAGAATCATACCCAATGCGTACCGGAAGGAGGGCACACGTCTCTATCAACCGGCAATGTTAAAAATGCACCCGTACTAATGGATCACTGGACTTTACACCTATCCGTTCCTCGCCGTATTACAAAAGCACCTGACGGAACGATATTTCAAGAACTTTCTGCTAAATTCACAGGATTTGACACTCTCAAAGTGATGTCTCTGAAGGGTATCTTCTGGGATGTGAAGTGTGAAGTTCACACTAACGTTTCGGAGGAACGCGCTGCTTCCATCTTCATGTCCGAATAAGCCAAAAGACCAGAAATATGTTAGCAGTAAGCAGAACACGAATAGTCTGAATGATAAAGGATGAGGAAATTACCAAAAAAATGGAAGCTGTTCTCTCACAACCGGGTTCGAGCGTGGTGCATAACTGGATTACTTTTCGTTCTTTCTGTGGAGCAAACTAATAGCGACGTGGCC